GGCGTCGCCATGGCAACGCCCCTCCGACTGTTATAGGGGTGCGCTAAGGGGAAACGGGGCTCCCGGACGCCTGGGCCCCTCCGGGTGACCCCAATCCGGACGCCTGGGCCCCTCGTTATCCCCCCAAGGGGGAATCGTGGATTCTCCACTGGCTCGTATAGGGTTGCGCTAAGGGGAAATGGGGTCCCCATCTCCTGGGCCCCATTCCCGGACGCCTGGGCCCCTCGCCCCCCGCCAGGCCCGTCGTTCCCAGCACGGGGGCCCGAGGTGGTACCGCAACCGGGCCAGGGCCACCCGCTCCCACCCGGAGCAGCGGCTGCACCCTGGGGTTTTGCTCCCCTGGGATTTGGGGCGTTTTGCCCTTAGGGCTCATGGTCCCTGTCCGGCCAAGTCCTCCCAATTAGCTGGGACTCAGGAGATGTTTTGTAAGATGGCAGGCTTCAGTGTTGGGCCTGTTTTTGTTAAGCCTAGGATTTCTGTTTTTCCTCTTAATGGAATTATCTGTGCCTTGGGCTTTTCAAAAATACACATTGATGTGGGCATAAAAAATTAATTCCAAATTGCAGATAATTGTTTAAGCTATCACACTTGAGGCTTATGTAGAAGAGTTTTCCCAGGACAAGTGTGTTTTCTATTAGGGTTGATATCAATCTGTCAGAAGATCCTTTTGATTTTCAGATTTTAGACTAAATAGTTGAGTAATACTTGCCCTATTCTCCCCCACTCCTTTTTTCATTTTCCTTAACAAAACACTCTTTTTATTGTTAACAAAATATCTTGGAAAGTGGCCAGAAAATTACTGTCTCTTTCTTTGAAAGAATAGAAATAGCTGCCTTCAGACATCGGGGGCTGCTGCACAGAACTTTTACTGGATCGGCCCCGCGCCGGGCGCTGGGTTTGTTGGCGCTGGCACCACGTGGCAGTGCCACTTTCTCCATATGGCCCCGTTGTGCAAGCCCGAGTGGGCCGCAATCCTGCATCTCCTAAGGGAAGATCTGCACGGCTCCGTGCGTACGGGAATTGCATTCGAATTGGGATAAATCCCCTCGGCCGCGCTCTCCTGGCGCACTTTTCCCGACCAGAATCATAGAATCATAGAATCATAGAATGCTCAGGGTTGGAAGGGACCTCTCGAGGTCATCTAGTCCAACCCCCTGCACACACAGGGTCACCTAGAGCATGTGGCACAGGGCTGCGTCCAAGCGGGTTTGAAGATCTCCAGAGAAGGAGACTCCACAACCTCTCTGGGCAGCCTGTTCCAGTGCTCTGGCACCCTCACTGTTAAGAAATTTTTCCTTAAGTTCCTATGGAATTTTTGGTGTTTCAAATGACGCTGCGGTTGTTACCAGGCGGGATCGCGGCGCCGTAGCTGTTGGTAACGCACGAAGCGGACGCCTTGCGTTACCATGCGCAGTGCGCCGGCGATGCCGAACCAAATCCCTCATTTAATTTCTTAACTTTTCTTTTCTTCTTTTCCTTCGTGTTAAGTGGGCTCCAGCGGAGCGCTGTCCTCACCAGATGGGGCCGGGGGCTCCGTGATCCGCACCAGCCCCAGCGGATCCACCAAGCCGAGCCCGACCGCTGTTGAGCTGCGATCGTTTCGAGTTTTATGTGGCCTCTTCCTTGTCAAAACCCCAGTGAATGTGGTTATGTGATGCCATCAAAATGACTCATTGCCATAATTACATATGTTCTAAGGGGTTATTCCCATTGTATTATTAAAAACTAGTGATGTTTGATTTTTGGCAGGGATCGTCTTCCTTGTATGATCTACAGATTTTGTCAATTAAATGAAGGAAAAATAGATTTCCAAGACTTCAGAACAAGACTGGACTTGTACTCGGAGAAGTTTTTCAGTGGGGTATTGAGCTACTTTGTTTTATTTTAATAGGCAACATCAGCCATCTTACTCTCGCTGTTGCAGTGGTTCCCTGCAGAGTACAAAGGCAGAACTGGGTTTCTGAGCTGCCCTTCCAAACCTTCCAAAGCCCTGGCAGAAGATACCTTGGACTGCGTAACACCACGCTCATTTTGGCAACTCGGTTCCTCAGGAATCGGTTTTTGGGGATACAGCCTGCAGGAGGGGCAGGGCTGAGACACCACGAGGCTCCGTGACTCCGAACGAGAAGAAACAGGAGCATTCCCAGATCTCATTGCTCTGGATTTAGATATTCCTTTTGTGGCATGATTATAATAGTCATGAAAGTGGGCTGCTTTTCTAGAAAGCGGTGCAAAATATAGGCTGCACCATGTATTTTAGGCTAATGTCTCTTTAGATCCCCTGTGGCCTTTTGCAGATGTGTCAATGCTGAAAGACAGGCAGGCGTCTAACCAGCCGCTCTGCTTTTGCTGCAAGTAACTAAATTATCTACCTGTTTGTCTGTTTTTTCCATTAGGGTCCTGCTGCCCTTCAAAAATCCTGGAGATTCTGGCAAACTACTTCATCTAAACTATAGTTTGGCATTAAGTTGGATATATTATCATGTGTATAAATGCCACTGGAATTATTTATTTATAGTGAATTATTATATATATACCTGGTATTTTTGTAATTTTAATAAAGTTTCTTTTTTTTTTAAGTGTTAGGCCTGACACTTCTTTCTCTGAAGACCATTGACTTACTATGAAATATCCCCTCTGATGTTTTCAGACAATATAACCCAAATAATAGTATTAAGAATAACCGGTTTCTCTGTACTACTATGTTTCCTCTAATCAAAACAAAGATTTCTTCTGAGTGAGAAATCATTTTAACATAAACATGAGCTAAAAAGTATATACATTGCCTCCATCTCCGTGGAGGTGGAAGGCTAGTAAATTATTGCCTGAGGGGTGTGTGTGCACACATTCAATTTGGCTGCACCAATGAAGAATATGGATTGGTATCACACAGAGAGGGCAAGACCATGCTACAACCAACGTGTGTTTGGCGAAATTTGTCTGCCTCAGCTCCTAAATCTCAGCAAATGAGATAGAAATTAAACAGTGCCAATGCCACAGTTGTAGCTGGAAATGCGATCTGCCTTTTGCCACCCGTTATGCACTAAGAAGTAAAAAAGGGATGTAAATTGCCTAGAAACCAACCTGCAAATTTGGGGTAGAAATCTGTCCAGTGGGTAAACATCAATTTGTTCAACAGTATAAATAAAGGCTTATTCTCGACTGTATAAATAAAGGCTTGTTCTGTGCAAATGAGTTTCTGATTATGGTTTATCTACCTTGCTGCCTATATATCTAGCAACTGTGTGTCCAGTTCCACAAATAGGTCATCAAACTACAGAACAGGAACCCCTGCAGAGTCCAGTAGCAACAATATCTTCATGCCAAGAGCTACACATTTAACTTCTGGATGGCAGTGGGTAGAAAATTACGTTAGAAGAGACTTTCCTACTGTCTACATAATCTTTTTATGAGTCGGGATTTTACCTCAGTGTTGCTGAATAAAGCAAACAAAGCTTGTTCAGCAAACCCATTTATTTATTTAAAGAAGCACATATTTTACAGTGATGCCACGGAGAGAACACCACAACAGATTTTATTTGGTGGGCTGAAAGAGAGCGTTCATGTGAGTTGAGATGATGTTCACCCATGTAAAGAAGTCTCAGGTTTGGACTGTTGAGCCCAGCGTGCAAATCAAGTTGGTCAAAGACAAAATGCTTCTAAATTCGTAAACAACCCAGCTCTCTGGGAATGGAAATAAGCACAATTCTCAGGCTGATTAAAAGAAGAGGAGGAAGAAATTAGATTTTTTTAAAAAATATTTTCCTCCTAATTTTTCTAAAACAATTTCATTTAAAAATCAACCTTACTTTAAAATCTTGGATTTTCTTAATATATATTTTAAACTTTCCTTTGCCTTTCTCCTCCTTTTTTTTTCCCCTGTTGTGCTATGAAAAGGAAGAGAGAAGGGAAAAGGGTACAACAGAAAGGAGAAGTTCAGTTTTTCTAAAAACTCTAGCAAATTCTTTAAAATAAGTTGTGTTGATTTATTATAGGTAGTTTCATTTTGAAATATTTATGCTAATATTGACATGAGTTACTGTAGGGAATCCAGTCAGTTGGCAGAACCTTAGTAGTATAAAACCTTACTAATGCACTCTCTCTTCTCTTTAATCCCTGTTGAGAACTGGATTGAGATACTGAAGCAGGAGGGAAGGAGGAGTAGGGCATGAATTAGCAAGCTGAGGTTCATGAAAGGGTTACTGATTATTGCTGCTAAATAGCAGAAGGAAAAAAAAAAGATTCTGGTTACATGCAATGCCATGGCACAAACAAAATACTTATCTCACAGGCTAGCTGAGGCTAGAAAATAAAGTGAGATCTGATCTTTCGACTGGGAGGCCGTCAGGAATCGCCTGAACATGATCCATAAACAATTCGAAGGATGACTTTTAAGAACCTCTTTCTCTCCCTGCTTGGTATGCTGGTCGTTTATCATTGTGCTGAAATGGAATCCCCTTTAAAAGATATAACGGCTTCTTGTTTACTTAAACACAAAGTGGATGATGGGCTGAAAGGCTTTGCTGCCAGCAAGCAGTCACGGAGAGCTTGGTACAGCTCTGGAGCTGGAACAACTATGCAGCTCCCACATGCTGAACGAAGCCCAAGGAGCAGCAAAGGGAATAGGGCAAAGAGAGAGCGTTGCTGTCGTTTGCTAGAATCGTAAGGTCTGAATTCTCCGTAAGTGCACGATACGGCCCACTCTTCACGGAAGAGCACCGGACTGGCCTGGCAGGGAAAGCAACTTGTCACCGAGGCTCGAAGCAGGGAAGGGGGCCCCCAAAGCGAGCGCAGCCGCCGTCCCCTTCCCGCGGGGGCTCCGGAGCCGCGGCCTCCCGGCACGCGCCGCGGGAAGCACGGCCTCACCTGGCTCCATCCCGCGGGAGCACGGGTCTGTTGCGGAGCTTTGCAGGAATTACGTGTATGCAGGTGTTTATATCAAGGAAGCACGTTTCGAAATGCAAGGGGAAGTGAGCAATATGCCCCTCGTTACACCGTCGAGGGTATACGTGGAAGGCAGCGTGATGTCCCCACGCCAGGCTTCCTAAGTCTCCATCCAGTGCAGTCTGCTCCTGGTCCCTCTGCCCGCAGGTCCGTTCCTGCCGGGAAGGAGCGTTGTTCTGGTCCAGGGATTCCAGTTGGTGACACAGGGAGCAGTAGTTTTGTCTAAGTGCGAAAGTCCAGGCTGCTCCTGCAGAGCCTGAGCCGTCCCCGCTGTCGCTCCCTCTCCCATGTGTTAGAGCGGTGTCTGGACAGACGGACAAGCCTGTCCCTGGCCCAGGAGCGGAGTCGCGGAGCTGAGACTGTCCGAGCAAAGTCACAGTGTTCAGGCAACCTGTGGTTTGTTGTAACCTCTCATTTTCTCAATTTGCTGCGTGTTAACTGGTTCCTTTAATGGGAAATTCCTCAGGGGGCTTATTGGAGCACAGCTGGGATCGAGAGCGAATTATGACAGATTTGTGGCTGCGATGCAGTTGGCAACGTTTCCTGGGACTTTCTTAAAGCTTTTCCCTTCCACGAGCGAGTCTCAGTCCGGTGGGACACCAGCCTCCATAGGGGCCAAGGCATGAACCACACACTCACGAAGCTGGTTGTCGTTTTGGTTTTTGTTGTCGTTTTTTAAATTTGAAATAACTTTTCGAAGCAGATTCAGGGCAGATATCACTGACCTCTTATCACAAACGTTTAACATGTATTCTCAAAGATGAAGTCATACAGCTTAAAACGAAAAATAAAGGGCTGGGGGGAAGAGAAGGGGGCTCTGCCGCTGCAGGCTGCAGCTTCCACCCTTTGCAAGGGCAGAGCATCAGTCCCAGCCTGGTGTGGCCTGCGGGGC